GTGTCTGCCGGGTCCGCGCCCGTGTGCGGCCTGCACGCCCTCCCTTCCCCTCTCCCCTCGCCGCCGCCCGTCTCGCTCACCTCCGCCTCGGCCGAGCCGCTCGCGGCCGAGGCCTCCACTGTTGGCGCCGCCGACGCCGCCGCCTCCGTCGAGCTGGCGAGGGCTGCTCCGGACGCGTGCGACGCCGCGGCCCGCTGCTCGGCGGGCCTCTGCCAGCCAGCCACCGCCTCGGAGAGAAGTCCGACTTTCGCCTCGAGCGCCTCTATCGCCGCGACCGCCGGTGCCGGCTGCTCGGTGGGTCGCCCGTCCAGCGCTTGGGAGAGCTGCTCCACCTTGGCCTCGAGCGCCGCCAGCGCCGTTGCCACCGCCGGCTCGCGCGCGGCCTCTCGGGAGGGCTCGAGCCGCTCCCGCTGCAGCGGCGCCCCCTCCGCCGTCGTCATCGGAGCATGTGGCTGCTGCAGCTGAGGGGGGCTCGACTGCAGCGGCTCTGGCCGCAATCGAGCCACGCCGGGCAAGCGCGGCTCCGCGCTGGGCAGCGACGACGGGCGAGGGAGCCAGTCGGTGATGCGAGCCACCGCCGGGTCGCCGCCTTGCGCCGCCACGCCGCCCGCCGCTGACGAGCCACCCGATGCCGAGGCACGCACCTCGTCGAGCAGCATGCCGAGCACTACTGCCGAGAGCGCCTCCTCGTCCTCGCCGCAAGCCTCCTCTGGCGATGGCGCCGGAGGGGGGTCATGGCTCGGGCCACCTCGCTCCGCTGACGCCGCGGCCGGCACGGGCGCCGACACTGGCGGCGGCGTGTCCTGCTCCTCGGCGCACGACACAGACGCGTCCACAAGCGGCGCGCTCGCGGACAGAGCCGTCGCCGAACGCACGGTTGGAGCCTCCTCGTCGACGCCGGGCTCGCACGGCCTCGACGCCGGCCCGAAGCGAGTGGCAACCGCAGCCGAGGCCGCTGCCTTGGGCTGGCGCGCCTCGCGCCGCCGAGCCGGGATGCGGCGGGCGCACCGCTGCAGCGCGAGAGCGGCGCGCTGCTGCTCCAGCTGCCGCCGCTGCGCACGAATGGCTGCGCGCTCCGACTCCGCTCGTGCGGCCGCGGCTGCACGGGCCCGCCGCTGCTCCTCGCGCGCCGCGTCGAGCCGCTCGGCGTGGAGCTGCCGCCATGCGGCGTCGAGCTCGGCCAGCCGCGCCATCTGCTCCACCTCATTAGCCGCCGCCTCCGCGCGCAGCGCCTCGCGCTCCACCTCCAGCGCCGCCTCGCGCTCACGCTCGAGCGCCGCCCACTGCGCCGCGAGGGCGCTGCTCCGCGCTGCTGGCTCCGCCGCAGCTGGCTCCGCCGCAGCTGGCTCCGCCGCAGCTGGCTCCGCCGCAGCCTCCTCGCCGCCCCTCGCCGCTCCAGCCGGAGCTGACTCGGCCTCCACCAGCGGGCGGGTCTGCCCAACCTGCTCCGCGCTGGCCGACCCGGCGGGGCGGAGCAGTACGCCGACGCAAGGCGCCTCGCCGGTCGAGGATTGCGCGGCGGCGGGCATGGCAGCGGGCGTCGCGGCGGGTGCGGCGGCGGGCGCTGCAGCGTCGGGCGGCACCGCAAGCGGCGGCTCGGCTGCCGGCGCGCCGTGAAGACTCAACCACTCCTCAGCGGGCGAGGGCGGCAGTGGCGGCAGTGGCATGCTCGCCTCCGCCGCGTCCGGCCTCGGCGGCTCCGCTGCCACGCTGATGGGCGGCACCTTCGAGCCTGCAGCCACGGCAGCACTGAGCCGCGGCGGCACACCGCCGACGGAGCTCGCACTGGCTTCGGGACCACCATCGCCAGCGGCCGCAACGTTGCGCCTTGCCGTCGCCGCCGTGCCGTCGCCGCATCGCTCCGCCTTGCCGTCGCCGCCGACAGCGACGCACCTGCCGCCGTGCGCAAGGTCAAAGCCAAACTCTGCGCCCAGCGCCTGCAGGTGCGGGAAGCGCTCCGCCGCGTCTCGCTGCAGGAGTGGCGGAGCCCACAGCTCGAGGTTGGCCAAGTGCGGCGCCGGCAGCTCCGCCGCTGGCCGCGCGATGCCGACTGGCGGCGCGGCGGGACGAGGCGGCGCCCCCCGCTGCTCCTGCTGCTCCGGCCGCCCCTCCCGCTTCCCCCCCGGCACAAGCCGCGTCGTCAGCCGCTTGGCTGGCTTGGTCGAGGCCGCGCGCCGCGCCGCAGCGTGAGGCAAACCGGGGTGGGCGACGGTGGAGCGCGGAATCGCCCCCTCCTCCTCCTCCGGCGGGGGCGGGGGAGGCACCGCTGCCGCCGAAGGCTGCGGCGGCTGTGGTCTGGCAGCGGGCCAGGGCCACGCCGCTGCGACCGCCGGCACGATCGGGAGGCTGACGGGAGCGGCGCGCACCGCGGCGGTCGCCTCGAGGACACGCTGCGGCGCGGGGGGCGGCTTGCGCTTCGGCGCGGGGGCGAGGAGCTCGTGCGACGCCTCGACGAGCGCCTTGGCCTCGCGGATCGCAGCGCGTGCATCGCTCGATGCGCTGGCGCCCCGCTCCTCGGGCGGCGGGTCGCTCGCTGGCGCCGTGCGCACCACAAACCGCCTCGGTGCAGCGGGCGCGGCGCCCTGAGCGGCGGCGAGAGCGGCGAGCGAGGGCGCTTCTTCGCCGACCGCCGCGAAGAGCTTTGCGGACTCGTTGGGGAGCAGCGCGCCGCGGGCGAGCGCCACCGCCGCTGCTTTGCACGACGCCTCCGCCTGCGCCATCTCTGCCGCCTCGGCAGCGCGCGCGAGTAGGAAGGGGTGCGGTGCCAAGGGGTGCTGTGCGACGGGGTGCGGTGCGGCTGCACGATCTTGAGGAGCCTCTGCCGTCGCGTTGAATGCGGGAGCGGCACCCGCTGTCGAGCCGCCGGCCTCGCACCACGTGACGACGTCGGCCTCGGCAGACGTGTCGCGCCCGGCGGCGAGCGGCTGCTGCGGCGGCTGCGGCGGCTGCGGCGGCTGCGGCGGCTGCTGCGGCGGCTGCGGCTGCTGCGGCTGCTGCTGCGGCGCAGGCGGAGGCGGAGGCGGCGCTAGAAAGAGCGGCTCGAACACCTCGAGCTGCACGACGAGTCGGCGCGCCTCGTGCGCCTCTCGCTCCACCTCGAGCGCCGCCGCGCGCCGCGCGGCCACTCCCTTCCGCGCCGCCGCCGCCTCGTTGGCTCGGTGGCGCGCATGCAGCTCTGCAGCGTGCGCATAGAACGTCGCGCACGCCTCCGCGCCCGCGGCTAGCCGCGGCGCGTTGGCCGCCGCCCGAACCGACGGCGGCACCCCCGCGCCGCAAGGCGCCTCCCGGCCGTCGTCGCAGCCGCCGAGGAGGGCGCGGTGGAGCGTGCGCACCTGCGCGAGCGAAGACTGCATCGCCCGTAGCGCGGCGGCCGCCTCGTCGGACGTCTCTCCTCCGCCGCCTCCGCCACCTCCGCCTCCACCCCCCGCCGCCGCGCTCGGCTCGCCGGCGCCGCCGCGCCGCCGCGCGCCTCCCTCGCGGCCACGGCACGCGGCAGCTCGCCGGCGAGCTCCGGCGGCGAGATCACGCACCTGATGCATGACGATTGTAGGCAAGTGAGGGTGAGAACACGGTGTGCTCAGAGCACCGGGCTCGAGAGCACAGCGAACGATGTTGGAGACAGCCCACATACGAGTCTTCTCGAGCGCCGATCGGCATGCGGGGGTCTGCATTCAGCATCTAGGACCACGCACCCGCGACCGCGCCGTCTGCGCGCCCGCGCTCGGCTCGGCGGGGCCGCACGGAGCCGCCGCGGCCTTGTCTCCGCCGCCGCGCGCGCGCAAGTGCTCGGCCACCCGCCCGGCGGCGCGGCGGCGCGCGAGCCGTGCCGAGTGCTGTGCGGGCGTGGCGTGCGGCGGGCGGCCCTCCGCCTCGCCACGCACGGCCTCGAGCGCCCGGGCTGCACGGGCGGCTGCGGCGGCGTCGATGCGGCCGGCGTCGCGCAACGGGGCGGCGTCGAGCAGCGCGCGGGAGAGGGCGCGCGCCTCGGCGGCGAGGCCTGCCGCCACCGCGTCGAGCGGCGCCTGGAGAGAGGCCCCGGCATCAGCCGAGATCCGCAGAGAGCCGTCCTCCGCCGCTGCTACCGCCGACGCCTGCAGCCCCGCCTCCGCCTCCAGCTCCGTCAGCCAGTCAGCGGCGGGTGAGCGGATGATCCTGTCGGCGGAGCGGAAGGGCGACGGCGCGCGACCCAGGCCGCCGCCGCCGCCTTCAAAGGCGGCGGGGGCTTGGGGGTGTGATGCGGCCCCGCCGCCGCCCTCGAGGCTGGCTGCTGCGCGACAAACGCCCTCCAGCCGCCTCGGCTCGACGCTGGCAGCTTCTGCGCCACCCTCTGCGCCACCCTCTGGCGCGGCGGCGGCCACCGCGGCCGACGCCTCTTCTGCGGCGGCCTCGGCGGAGGCGATGCCATCCGCGACCGCCGCCTCCACCGCCGCCTCCGCCGCGGCTGGCTCTGAACCCGCGGCTGCCTCTGAACCCTCCGCCGCTGCCGCCTCCGCCGCTGCCGCCTCCGCCGCTGCCGCCTCTGCCTCCCGCCGGCGAGCCTGGAGCACCGCGACTTCGGCGCCGAGCGTGTCGGCGGAGGCTGCGTGAGCGCGACCACTACCCCGCTTCCGGCCGTCCGGTTCCGCGGCCGCAGCAGCCACGGCGGCACCGTGCCCAGCCAGCCGGCGGAGCAGCGCCGCAATGTCGCCGGTCGCGCCGCCTGCACCTGCAGACGGCACCAGGCAGGAAGGCAGGGAGGCGGGCGAGGAGGCAGGCATGGAGGCGGGCGTGGAGGCAGCCTCGCCGCTGACGCGGGCGAGCCGCTGGCGCCGCTGGTCCAGAGTGGTGGCCAGCTCGCCCCGCTCCGCCCCGCCGCCCGCCGACACCTCCTCCGCACCAGCCCGCACCTCCGCGTCGGCCCCAACCTCCAGACTGCTCGCCGCCTCCCCGCCCGGACTGCTGCCGCCGCTCGCAACGCCACTGGCAACGCCGCCGAAGTCCGGCGTCCCAGAGACCAGCCCACCGCCGCCGGTGTCAGTGGGAGGGGCGTCGACCTCAGACGGCGCCTCCTCCCTCGCCGCCCCCCTCGCCGCCTCCTCGCCCGTGGCCCCTTGTCGCGCTGCTCCGCTCGAGGCCAACCACTCCTCCGTGAGAGGAGGGGAGGCCGCGTCAGCGGCGCCCGCGCTGGCGCAGTGCCCCTCGACTGCAGGCTCGCCGCTCGGCTCGGCGACGGGCCTGGCGTCGTGCTCCGCCGCCGCACGCGTCGGGTGTCCGAGCCGCGCCAGTGTCTCCCGCAGGTAGACGGACACCTGCGCACCTCGCACCGAGGCACGGTCACGAGCAGCGGGCTGGGGAGAGCGGTAAGGGTCGGGCGGGGGGAAGCGGCGGGAGAGCGTTGGGCGGAGCGCGCACCGCCTCCCCCGAGGCGCTCCACGCCGAGTGCTGGTCAGGCTGCGGCGGAGGCTGCTCGCGTGGTGCGCCGAGCGTGTCGCCAAGACGCAGTCCTGGGGCACGCACGCCCTCGCCGACGAGATCGGCGACGATGGCTTTTGCGGCGCTGTCGTTGCGGCTCGCCGCCGCGGCGAGCGCGCGGCCCGCCACGGCACTGGCGGCAGTCGGGCGGCGGGAGGTGGCCGGCTCAGCGACGTCGAGCAGCGCCCGGAGCTGCCTCGCAACCTCCTCCGGCGCCACGACGCCCTCGCCCGCTTCGAGCATCAAGGCACGCCTCGGGACTCGTACCCAGGAGGAGGAGGTGGGGGAGGTGAGTGCCGCCATCTGGTCGAGCGCGACAACGGCTACCCCCCTGTATCGGGGTTATGGTGGGTTTACGAGGTGTGAACGTGAACAGAGTAGCCAAATCGCTGTCGATCGTTACGGCACGCATGGGGGGCCTCCCGGACGTATGATCCCAGCCCAATAAGCTCCACGGAGCAGATTTGGATTTTTGACAGAATTAAATGCTCAAGGCCAGCGCGCGGGCGATGGACTGACTCCAGCAGCTCAAGGGCTCGCGCTCTCCTCACCGCCGCGCGCGCGTTGCAGCAGGAGTGCCGCAAACCGCAATGCGGCATTGTGCGACTACCGCATCGTGCCGCAGCTGCACCGCTTCTCCTCGGACATCATCGTGAACTCGGTGGTCCGCTGCGAGGACGCGGTCAGCACCGCGCCGGATCTCTTCTGAGAGCCGGCGCGGATCGCGGATGCGGCTTGAAGGCTCTGCCGGCGGATCTATGGCTTGGTGTATGCCAGACTGCGGGTCCAAAGATCCCGGCGCGGCGCGCGCCATCGCCCCCGGCGCGGGGTGGGATGTCAGTTCGTGAGTCCTGTGTCCCGTCCCTGTGCCCCACCTTCTTCTCCTGCGTCGGTCCCCGCGAACCCCACTATATAGCGCCACCTCGTGAGCTGTCCTGTGAGCTGTGTGTTGTGCGTCCAGCAGTCCGGACCCAGTGCTACGGCCGGTGACAGCGTGCCTCGTGTCGGCTCCCGAGCCAATCGTGTGCAGCGTGTGTGTGCGTGTGGGCCCGTCCTCCATGCTTGGAGGTGTGTAAGACTGACTGACTAAATGCACTGCCCCCGCTCGGGACTAATAGTCGTAGTTTTGGGGGCGGCGCCCCTCACGGCACCACACTGACGCCGGACAGCCCGAGATTAGCCTAGCAGTGAGTGGGAATCGCCTGCCGGTCGGCTTGGCACGAGCCAAGCACTTGGGTGGCCGTCAACCGAGTCCGAGCGGCGCCTGAGGTGGGTGCCACGGCGTCCGCACGAAGGCGTGGCGGGGTGAGGAGCCAGGGGTGGTGAACACCTCCCTGACGGGCGCGCGGCGCGCCGGATGGTCCGCCGAGGCCGCCGCCGCCCCGGCGGCGGCGATGGGGGCGGCGGGGCCGACCCGGCCGGCGTTTGTCGGCTCCACCTACAGAAGAGCAGTCTCTGTGGGTCGACGATACTAACTCGGTAGTAACGCTGAGCGGTGCTGTGCGACGCCGCGTCGTGCGCGAGGCGACCTCCTGGGGCTACCTGGGCTGGCAATGGATGCCACCAGGACGCACGGCTAGCAGGAGCCAGTCGGGCATGCCCTGCTGTGGAGCAGAGCCTGCTGGCGCACCGGCGATACTAACTCAGCGCGCCGCGAGAGGCAAATCTGGGCGACTTTGGAGGCGCAGTTCTCGAGCTTGCCGTCGACGATTGTTGTCGGGTAAATTGTCACTGCCATCCGGGAAGGTCTTCTCTCAGCAGGCCGAGCGCGTGGCATCGCGCTGCTCGCAGCGCTGTCGCGGCGCCGAGAACCCCCTAAACTCGCGAGACCTCGATACTAACAAAGACTACGATACTGGGGGTACTGTGCTGCCCAGGTGTGAACAACACCTCGTGACCACGGCGCCGCAGGCGCCTGTTGATGGGTCCAGGTGATAGCCCTGGACGGGCAATGCATACGCCTAGTTGGGCCTTAGATCGCCCGACCGCGTCCCGTGGGATTGGACGGGTAGACCAGATGCCTCCGAGCCACTCTGCTGGGCGGGTCAACGGGTACCGGGGCCGCCGCTCCGAAACGGCGGGGGTCCGCCGATGACCAACATAAACGCCCAGCAACCCAGAAGCCCAATCCGATACCCCGGTTCCTTTTGCAGTTCACCATGGCACAGCTGCCTGCGGTCCACATCAAGTTGCAAGGAAGTTCCACACCGCACAGGCGGCACACCCACATGCGCATGCGCGCGTCGCCCGCACACGTGCCCGCACGCCCGGGTCCCTCTCGATCGGATTGGTTGCATGGGGGCTAAGGATCCTAACTTCGGGCCCTAGCCGAGCCTTTGCACTCCCGGGCGGAACGGGTTGTCTCTGGAGAGGGTCTCGCCATGGTCTCACTACATGGTCAACTCACGAGTCATTCTCATGCCACGTGGCCAAGATCACGTGGCCAAGATCACGTGGCCACGGGTCTCACAGGCACCACAGGACGGTGGCCGCCCTCCCCCGCAGCACAGCCCGACTGCAGTCTCGTCCGGTGCGGCGGCAAGTAGGGGAGTAGGAGTAGCATGGCGCCCGGGGCTGGCCTCCAGCTGCGTAGGAATCAAGGGGACGCTCCTTCCTCGCAGCGGTCCGTCCGTCTCGTCGCAGCGGTCCGTCCGTCTCATCGCCACGGTCCGTCCGTCTCATGCGCTTGGCAGCGACGCCACGGCACCGCTCACCTGCACCCGCAGCAGCGGCAGCAGCAGCAGCGGCGTGGCGGCGGCGGCCACAATGAAGAATCGTTCCGTCGCCAGAGAAAAATAGAGCAGTCATCTCCAGGGAGAGATGGGCGGCGCACACGAACACAGAGGGACAGTGCGCACCCCGCCCCGCTCGCAGGGCGTGCATCACACAGGTGGACTGTGTGGCGCCTGGCACCCGTGCCTCAGCGTTATTTTCTGCACGCGCACAGCGGCCCGGCGCGTACGTGCTCGCGGCCACGCTGCGGAGTCCGCGGCATGCGGGCGCTGACACCTCTCCTACTCCTCACCGCGCTGCCAGCCACTCGTTCGCTGACGCTCCTCGCGCCGGCGGCTCGGCCTCACGTCCTGCGGGCGCCGCCCGTCGCAGCGCGCGTGCCCAAGGCCTTTCGCGGCGGCCTCGATCTGTCGGAGGGCTCAGAATGGGAGGGGCAGGTGGAGGAAATCACTGACTTCGGCTGCTTCGTCCGGCTAGGGCGGCTCGGCGTCCAGCGCCACCGCGGGCTGCTGCACGTCTCGGGCCTTTCGGAGGAGCGGCTGGAGTCAGCCGCCGTGCCAGATTACGTCGAGGAGACTGTCGGCCCGGTCGGGAGCAAGGTGCGCGTCCTCGTCCGATCGCTCGAGTACAAGGGGAGGCGAGAGGCCTTGCCCTGCCACGACTCTCTCGCGCAGCCGGCGCCCGTGATCCTCTCACGCCGCCCTGTAGGCCTCGAGTCTCGCTGCAGCTCCTCGAGGTGCTCTCGAGGCAGAGCGCGAGCGAGCTGTCAGAGCGGGCGATCATGCGGAGCGTGGCGGAGGGCGAGGAGGGGAGCTGAGGTACCTATGTCACGCCTCCACGCAGAGCAGAGAGCTTTTGTAAGAGTTCATAGCCCCCCGCTTGCGCTACCCGGTTGCCTGCCGGTTGCACTCGTGCGACGTGGCGGGGGGCCACGACTACGTTTACGAAAACATAAGTAGTCCCGCGAGGTGTGAATTTGGCCGCCCCAGTAGCCCCCTTTCCAATGGCCTGGTTTTTCGGCGCGTCCCCAGAGCGTCCAAACTTGATACTTGTTTGGGCGCGAACCGCGTATCTCGCAGAGGGGGCGACACGAGGGCGAGGCGGACGAGCGCCGCGCACAAGACGTACCGCGCGACGCGCGAGCAAACACCGCCTGCTGGTCACCTCGAGCAGGCATTCGCAAAGGACGCTAGCTACATGGGAAAAGGGTGGATTGAAAAACATCCGACCGGCGCAATAGCCGCCTGCGGCTCGTTGCCGCCGCCAATCGACTGCTCCTACTCGCCATCTAACACGGAGACGCCGCAGCTGTCGGGTCTGCAAGCCGGCGAGGTGTACATCGTACTCCTCACCAATTTCGCCAACGAGGCGCAGGCCATCT